GGAAAGCTGCGCCTCGTGTCACTACACTACCTCCACGCCTTTTCAAGTACAGTGTCATAGCGGCTTCCGGAAAGGTGTCAGCCCTCCATAGTATGCTGTTGGTAGAGCACGTCGTGTTTCGAAACCTCAGTGAGTGAGGTCGTACTTGGTCGCCGGTGGAAAGGAATGGTCGTATATGCCCTGAGAAAAACGTTTTCGGTTGTTGACTTTTCCCGGTTTGTTTCACTGCTTCGAATGCGCTATATACCCACCACCCCTGCACCCCACTTCCCTCCCTACGCTCGATGCTGCACTCTTATCCTGAGACGGAGGAGACGGAGCATAGGAACATGGCATAGGATGCGGTCGTTACTCGAGGGATATTTGAAGGTACGGTCCACGATCAGGTATAGAAGTTGAAAATATGGCGTCGGGAGGGTAGTGTGGTCCGCGACGAACAACCTTGTACCGGTTTCGCGGCAAAAAATTGTAAGGGAGGGGCGCTATAGCGCAATATAGGTTCAGTGACGCCTCCTTTTTCCAGTGACTCCGCCTCCAGACTCCCCTTTTTTGCAGTGACTCCGCCTCCAGACTCCGCTTCCAAGCCCGCCTTTCAAAAGTAAACGAAGCTGCAGGACGAAAAAGCATGAAAATCGTCACTTGTACGGTCGTAGAGTTCTTATCGGGAATCAGCTGTGCGGATGAGGGCGTAGTGTTGGAGATGGAGTTAACTGGGCACGTACAAACTGGATCGAAATGGGTTCTATCTGGGGAAGTTAGCATGTCTTTTTCTGCTTTTTTCATCACTATCGAGCTACTCACAACATTGTTGTCTATATGCAACCCCTAATCCACTACCTGTTATGGCGAATGATTGCCTTTAAGTCCAAGACAACTGTAATCTTGTTGTTTTGGACAAAACATGATTACAACCGTCCTCAGATGAACCTTGGCCGCGCGCCACGTTCCCGTTGAAATACGCACCCATGCTTACCATCTCAGGAGTTTTTGGAAAAGTGGGAAGAGGAGTTTTGAAAAAAATCCAGAAATGTGGTAGAGTGCTGAGAAAATTGAGAAAAATGATAAGTTGGGTGGGGAATGGGGTAGAGAAGTAGTATCAGAGGAGGAATATTCAGGAGGATCGTGTTCTGCTAAACTTGTCCCCAGCACAGATCGGCAAGCTGGCGTCAGAATTGGTGGATTCGACTGACATGTGGTACCGTCTACTAGGCGTTTTATCCTCTCTCGAACAGTTCCGATTCCCAAGCCGTCGAGATTTATAAGATTGTGCGGAATGCGTGCTATAGAGAGCTTTCAGCTGTCCGGAAAACGGAGATAAATAGAATACGCTTGCGCTGAGGGCCCTCAAAACAGTTAGACCTTTCTCTAGTTCAACCCCTAGAATTTGTAAAAACACCTTCGACTGGACTGAATTCCTCCTTTCGTAAGAATGTCCGTTCTCGTTACATACAGTCGCTCAGTGTGAATCCTGTGAAGTCTCTGTAACCCTGATTTGTTCTAGGAAGAACGCAGCTCCGCGAGCTTCCAACGTAACTCCAGCTCGTCGACCAGAAAATCGTTACGATAGGTTTTTATTATACAAGTACATTTTGCTTGCTTTCTGTTTTGGCCTTTTTTTGCTTTCCGTAACTAGAATCGGGAAGTATAATGGAAAGCACTGATTCAGGCTACCCGGTAGCATCGCTGAGGCGAGGAAAATGTTCGATAAAGGACGACACGAGATGATGTGCCAATCAGAAGTGGAATGCACTTCATGGATCAGACTTTTCAGAGCCGTAAGTGCACCGTTCAACAATGTTAGCGTTTTGGAGAACTTTGGCAGCGTTCAGACTTCGCGACGACGCGCGTCGACGCGCTGCAAGAACGCTCCAATACTGTAGACGCGACGCACCGCAAGATGGTGCGCCGGCCACTTTGTTTTCCCGAGAGAGCATGCGATAACGCTGCCTTCACACATCCTGTTACTCTCCCCTTGCTACACACACCCAATCTCATCGATACAAGAATGCGTGATTGGGCAAAGCGTACCCTCCCCCTTCTCCATACTATCTCAATGGAGAAGCAACCGGCGGCGCTCGATTCCCGTCTGCGGCTGCGTTCGCCTCTAGTACTGGAGCGCTGTTGCGATTGTAGCGCGAGTCAATGCGAGCTACAGCGCGTCTTCGCGCGTATACGGGCGTCAACGCGCGTCCATGCGCGTCACCGCCAAGTCTGAACGCGGCCTTTCTTGCTTTTCATAAAGTGTCTTGTGGGAAATAGGACACTTTCCAATGAACTCTGCTGAATGTTTATTTTTAGCTCATTGAGGCCCCCAATTCTTCAACTGTTTAGTTCGATCTGGATCACGATGGCTTCATCCCAACGACAGATTTGAAGCGAGCTATACGCGACTCCGCGTTCTCATTTGGCTTGAATCCCGAAGAGGTCGTCACAATGCTAGCGACCATTGATGAGAATGGTGACAAACTCATTGATTTCCCGGAATTCTGCACTTTGGTAAGTGTCTTTTGCACGGAATTCTTCTGCACGAGAGAACCTGTCTGATGCCTCAGAAGACCTGTAATAGAGCCGCTTTAGTAGGAAAAAACTGGTAACTCAGTGACTAAAACGTGGCATGGTCGCGCTCCCAAAGAACCTTTGCAAATGTGAGCAAATCGAATGAAACCTGCTGCGGGTTTCCCACGAAACCAGTTGAATTTTTCGTTGGCGCAATGTTCAGGATACATTCAATGTAGCACGAAAGCGTAATGATCATCGGGATTCCAGCCCAGGTAGTGCTTTCCTGCATTTTGAGGCACATTCAGTGATGGCAGTTCCTTGAAGTGGGGCTCTGAAACAAAATTGTCATTGCTTCTGACCTTGTAATTGGGAACAAAACAGAAAAAAATCGATTTCAATATAGATCTTCGATGCTGCCGGTTGGGAGGGGGCATCATTTCGCGCTTTCGCTAGCTCCTTTTCTTAGTTCATGTTGATTAACGGCACGATAATTTAGTACTTGCCTGAAAAAATTGATCGGGGTGCTGTATAGTGGGAAAATGGCGAAAAAGCGAAGTAACCTCAAAATCCGGAGAAGCCTCTGTTTTGTACGGTATTTGACGAGCATTTTTGGACGAGTCCTCCATTGGCATCGTGCCACGACGTCCGCCCCATTGCACGTGCAAACAATTCAATACATTAGATACGGCTACTTATATCCTAATGTCATACATCACTCCAGCTCGCTTCATATCAATGTGACCATCAAAGTGAAAGCTATAAAGAGCACCAGCATCGCTGTGACCACGACATTTCGGGGACGTTGCAGTGGGTCGCACCTTGTGTATTGGTTAGAGCGAAAGAACGGCTTAGTTCGAAAAGGCACTATGGAGCTCTTACTCGGGCACGATCTGTCCTGCTAAGCGCATTCAGTCCTATGCGTCTTGGATTATCGCTGCTAACTTTGCCTTTAAGCTCACCTGCTGAAGCTCTATGAGATTCGCCGAATTTCTGAGGAGTCACTTTGATACAGCAATATGCAAGGGTTTTGCATGGACCTGCTTCAGCATTACCGATACCAAAAGAGTTCCCAGCTGAACGATAAACGCTGCCAGCCAGTTCTTACTTACAGTTGAGCACTGGACGTGCATAAGATGGTCAACATCAACTGCAAGGTGCAAGAGGAGGCGTTGACGGAACGAGCTGGGGAGAGACCGGAAAACAACGGGTTAAGGAGGCCGAAATGGGCTTCCATGGGCCTCCGACGGCAAGCTCGCTCTCCGCTTCCTGCGCGCTTTCGAGGGCGGACAGAGCACATTTTTGACGGCTGCGCAAGCGCAATAAGAATTTGTTGGCGTCGGCCGCAAAGCGCTCTTATTCTCACTGGTCCCCATCCATCTACATGCAGTCGTGATCCCTGCAAACGATAGGGCGCGTGAGGAGGCACGAATTGGAGCGCAGCCAGGGCAGTTTTCCCGCCAGTAGTTGCTGACTCAGAATGATATCATTGGTGAGAAACGCCGCCTTTGCTGCACTCCATTCCACTTCCCGCCACACGCCCTGTCCTTACAGGGATTACGACAGTACATTATAACTAAATGACGAGAAGCGTGGTATGCTCAGAAAAGAATCGAGTGAGCGAATTGTGCCATCGCTAATCGGTTTCTTCGGGCGCTGTGTTGCATCTATCAAATTTTGGATGACAGAGGTGAACAATTTGTCTCTTTCAGATGAGTCAAGCGAAGCACCGTCGTCTTCTGCGCCTGATGTTCAGAGCTGCAAAGTTCGTCGTGCCCCGGTCGAAACGAACAGAGCCTTTTGACTATCTGCAGAAGTGAGTTGTTCTAGTAGTATTGCAAGCTAGGCAGGGCTACCCAAGACCATCAGCAGGTTCTGCGATTGGAAAGAGCC